TGGGGGACTGCAAATCTACTGGACCAGAAAGGCTCGTGCTTCTCATTTTTCTCTCCTCGCAGTGGCGGGCGGGGGGGTTAACCCTCCGATCTGGGTTGGGATTAGCAGTCCAGTCATAGCCACTATGGCACCAGCGCTCCTTAGACAAGAGGACTTCAAGCAAAACAATCATGGAAAATAGAATTAAAAGGTAATGGAATTTTTCCGTGAACTTTTTGAAGCTCCTTTTTATAAACAGTTTCCAACATCCTATGCAAAAATGGGGTCGCCAAGAGTCCTGGTGGCTATTTAAAATGAAAGAAAATTAAAAACTACCTCCCTCAGTCTGCACTTGAAGTATGAAACTGCAGGTATAAAATATGTTCACTCTTGCGGGAAGTCCTATAGGAGTTGGTCTAGAATAGTAGGCTGTTAATGGTGACACTGTATCAAAAATCATAATCCCTTACATAGGAAACCATATATTTTCAAAAAGGACAGTAGAGTTAGTTCAAATGGCAAGCACAGATTACTGGTCCATCAACCTGTTATGATGTGCAGTCTCACCTCCTCAGGCAATGTGAACCCAATCACTTGGGCTGTTTAAAACCGAGCCTCTGAACCATAAACCTTTGGGGCGAACAAGAAGCCTAGTGGGAATGCACACCTTGGACCAAAAAGGCAGCAAGCTACCCAGGAGAACGCCCAGAAGGCTGGAAGCACACTGGGAAGTACGCGTGGAGGACGTGGGAAGAGTGGGATTCCATGGTGAGCATTACAATAGTTACAAAAGGCCACAATGCTGAATGCAATGTCCCTTTTTCTGTAAACTTCCATCCAAATCACGAGAGTTTTTTTAAAAACAAAAAACAAAACAAAACTGGTATTAAAAGGAGGAGAAAGGGGGTGCGTAATGTAATTTGCCAGCCAGAGAACAAGTTATTTTTCCAAAGTAGAATCCACATGAACCGCCTGTCAACTAGTGACATGCATCTGATTAGAAAATTCTGGACAACAGCATGCATCCTTATTTTACGTTAAAGTAGGGTACTTTTGAAATCAGAGACTCGTGACTTTTTGTGAATAGAACAAAGATAAGAGTTAAAGGCTAGAAACAGTATACTTCCCCTACAGAGAATTACAGATGGTTCATGTTGGGTCTTAGGAGTCCTGACGAGTAAGTACGGGCCACCGTGCTGGGAGTCTGGCCAGTCACTACTGAGCCAGAATACTTGTCTCCAGGACTTCCTAATGTGATCCTTTCAGAGTACATGGTACTGGAAGCTGGGCACCATCCAGTTCTGTTGGTCTCAAGGTTGCGGAGGCTGGCATTTATGTGCTCCGTTCGTCCTTTGGTCTAATAGTTTATATACATCTTTTCATGTGTGTCCTCTCTGGATGAAGAGAGGCCAGTGGTTGCATCTTAGATAACTGCACAAGAGCTTTGAAGACCCCAGTTGAGACTATCAAAGTAGGTTAGAGAACATTGTCTTTAAGAACTATGGTATGCCAATAGACCTTGGTTCCCCACGAGCCTGTGGTCCTGAG